TAAAAGCGGAAATATAATTATATACGTGCATTAAATACTTCAAATGTCATTTCAAATGGATAAATTTTTAGCAGCCAATCAAGAATTAAAGCTAACAAGCTCCGCCCACTTCATTTGCATACCGTTTCCCACAGCGTACCGTTCACAAAACGAACCGTTCCGTGCAAGAAGCGAAACGTACCGTCCACAAAACGTACCGTTCCGTGCACAAAGCGAACCGTTCCGTGCACAAAGCGTACCGTTCCGTGCACAAAGCGAACCGTTCCGTGCACAAAGCGTACCGTACCGTTCTCAAAACGAACCGTTCCGTTCACAAAGCGTACCGTTCCGTGCACAAAGCGTACCGAACCGTACCGTTCAAGTGGTGTAGTAGCACGGTTTAGGGTCTGTAAGATGTGTAACACATTATGTACAACTTTTAAGTTTACAAGATTTTAAGCTACCCATATTATACAATTAGACTACTTTTTCAAAGTTATGAGAAATTCTTTACAAAAATATAAATGCAAAAGATAAATGTTAGGGTACACTTTTAAAATACATTTTACATGAATCACATAAAGAACATTACAAATCATTTCTTTGTGTTTGTTTTCCTTTGGAACATCTGTGAACAAACATTCTGTTTTGTCTTTCTGATACATGAAAAGCGTCCAAAAATCATTTGAAATTGTTGTGTTAAACCCTGATATAATAATTTTAAGAGTTTCTGGTGTGTGCCCTACTTAGAAATGTTTACAATGTAACAAAGATGAAACTCATAATTTGATTTAATCAGCAATGATAAAGTCATCAGGTTTACACATGCTTTTCTGACACATCATGTACATTTTTTCTACTAGTATATCTTTGTTCACAAAAAAATGAAATCAACAGTACTTAGCATTCCATATAAAGAAATATAAACCCTAGCTATTAAAAATCTAAAAGTATATTTGTGCATCAATGCAATATGTTTAACAAAACAATCTCTTTCACTGTGATGAAAATTGTCTTTTTCATAGAACATGCAGATGAAGAACTTCTTTGGATGATGTCATTTTCACATGTAGAAAAGAAACCGAATTCAACTAAAACTAAAAGACAGTCATTAAAATTTTAAGGACATTAAAGGATGATATCAAGACCGAAGTCCAGGAATTGATAAAATTATATAATTATCATCCAAAGATGTATGTGTTTGGATTTATTTTTTAAATTCACAAGCAAATGATATGCTGCCATTTAATCTTTCAAACTTAAAAAAAAGTTCTATACTTTTGAATTAAAAATTTCAAAATCTAGAGGAGTCTTCCCAATACTTATCTATTTATGACTGAAGGTATGTAAATCACCAGAGTTGCTGTACTGCACCATTTGAATAAAAGTCATATCCACAGTCTTGACTTTTTTCCCTAAACCTTATTTCAAAACATAAATTATTCCAACCAGTCTTTATCTATGCAGTGATAATAAAATTTTAACAGACTTCTAAGGTATTACATAGTAATATTATATAACTTTGTGAAATCCCATAATCTGATTGGTCAATACGAAGTAATTATATTTTAATAATGACCGCTGAAAGCGAATAATGACTCGCACGAGCTGCCTCGTTTTCACTTTCGCTTTAGTCAAACAGTTTGCAAGTTGTAGGCGAGGAAAATTTAAAAGATATAGTAAAGAACTATATGAAGGTGAGAATACAAAACAATTATCAAGGATATCTTTTAGCATTTTTCGGGAATACTTACTACATATACCATTTCATTGTTGAATTCGACTTTTCCACTCGGCGAGCAGATTTTTGACGCTGTTTACGCGATTACGGACTCGGAGACTAAAGGAATAAAGACAAGCATGCCATGTACGATTGTATAAATAATTATAGCGTAGAAGACATCAACAGATATTTTGTCAGTGCATTTCCTTTGCAAGTGTAAATGAGTGCGATTCTAAATCTGGGGAGGGGGTACTCAATGTTTATTCAGAGATAGATACCGTGTGTTAATATTATGCTTAGTTATAGGTTAAAATTTATTACCGAAACAAGTTCCTGTGAGTAATATTCAAAAAATTCTGAAACGTTTCTACTCAACTTATTTATGGTAAACACCATCTCTGTAAACATTAGGAAGATATACATAGTACTAATACATTTGGGAAATTATTATTTATATAATATAATAAATATGGACTCAATGCACGGTCAATATGCATTAATAATGACCCAGGATGGCAGATATTGACCGAAGATACATGGAGTATATCGACCGAGGGCGTTAGCCCGAGGTCGATATACTCCATGTATCTTCGGTCAATATCTGTCATCCTGGGTCATTATAAATGCATATTGACCTACATTGAGTCCATATTTGTATAATAATCATTTATACACACTTGAACATGTACATTTGATTAACATTTCAATCTTTTCCTAAGAATTTGCACCTAATTTTTATAAAGTCTGTAAGTTATCACAAATTGTTAAAGTTACAACAACTGAAAATATAATCCAGGAGAAAAATGATCTAAAAATCTATAGAAAATCTCTGAATCTTTCTTTACTTATGATGTGAAGTTTGTAGGTTGCAAATTATTGTCAACATGTATTATTCCAACCAGTTTTTATCTATGCAGTGATATTAAGATTTTAATAGAATTCTAAGGTATTACATAGTCATAGTCTTTAAACATCCTTGAACATAGTGCATATGATTTACCAAAGAATATGCCATGCCACCCAATAAAGCTGATAAAAAAGTCTCTAGGTTATCACAAATTGTTAAAGTTACAACAACTGAAAATATAACCCATGAAAAAAAAAATGATCCAAAAATCTATAGAAAATCTCTGAATCTTTCTTTACTTATGATGTGAAGTTTGTATGTTACAAATTATTTTCAAAGGTAGTTATCTCTGAATCAATAATCTCATGCTTTGACCCTGATGAAGTGTCCTAGAAAACTAAGTGCATTACTCTAACCTGTTCTGTGAAGTAAGCATGAAGTCTATGGGATGTTAAAAAATATTCAAGATATTATTACATCACAGATTAGGGGACACTTGCATCTTTAGGGGGTCCTATTGAGACCAATTTTAAATTCAAAATAGGATACACATACACAAACAAAATGTATTTACCATTCCATGAAAGTAATAATTACAGCAAAGCTAGCTTCTAAAACATCTGTGTAATTTGTTAGGGGTTATAGAAATAAGATGAAAAATAAAAGGTTTAAATGTATACTTCTCTTACATAACAACTGTCTTCAATATGAGTTAGTAAAAAAATAAATACATATATAATAAATAATATATATAATAATATATATATAATATATATATAATAATAAAAAAAAAATAAATATAGATACTTTGAAGTTGGTGAGAATAAATTCATGTTATCAGAAAATCATGTTTTCAATACTTGATTTGACTATAGATCTCAGTTTGATAAATGGCTACATCTTATCCATAGTCAGTGTCTGACAGTAAAAGATACAATCCTGGGTCCTTTCTTTGTCATCCTGTAAAGCACAGTCAGTCTAAATTGGTTGGAAATCATATTTATCTATGTGCTTCTTAAATCCTGTTTGATTTTCTTGTTTCAGTGTTTTAAGAGATATTCATAGTCTTTGCATAATCTGATAGTCTTTCACCTGTGCTTCTTAAATCCTCCATCCACCTCCTGTTTGATTTTCTTGTTTCAGTGTTCCTAGAGAGGATATCCTGTTAGTCTTTGCATAATCTGATAGTCTTTCACCATTCTGAGAGTAGACATAGATCATTTCCATAAGCCCTCACTAGAATATCCTGGAAAATAAAAATAATGTCTTAGTTGAAAAAAAAAAAATTTGTTATGTAATATAAGCTTGATGGAATTCTAAATATAGACAAAAAAGGGTATAAATACAAGGTGTAACATCAGATTTTGACTTTTCATATTAACCATGGGTAACACCTCCAGTAAAGAAAAGAGTAAAGGAATGAGTAAAATTCAGTTTGAAAAGAGAGTTCTTTCAGAGAAAGATGTAGACAGAGGTATACCAGTTAAAATAAAAAAAAGATAGCATTATTGAGATCATTTCTCAAGAAGAATATAACCAATTATGTCCAGAAAAGGATGATCCTAATGTTGTCAGAGATTACATAGAAAGATCCTTGATTGCAGAAGAAGCTAATGAAGAATATAACCATTTATTACCAAAAGAAGGTAAGAATTACTATTACAAAATTATGTATTCTGATAAGAAAGTTTTCACTTTCATTTGTTGTGCTTTTGACCATTTTAATTGACCTTATGGTCAAGATTGTGATATATACACTCTGATAATCATTTATGATGTCTCCATGATGTTTACCTCAAAAGTTTGAATCAGGGTATTTGTGTTCAAAGAGCTGAAGAAACTATACAGACAGATCTATAATGATTTTGGAAGCATGCATATTAATTAGGGTAAAGGAGATATAACACTAGATTATTAAAAAGAAAAAGAACACAAACTCATAGAAATGATATTGAAAGTACCTTAAATGAATAAAGTGTCATGCTCCAAGGTATTATTTTTATAAACAGGAGAAGGGTTACAACAGTCCCATGCACTCATAAGAAGATCTTGGGTAATAGAAACACCAGGAAATTTTAATTCCAAACAATCAGGTCATCTTACATCAGTTATAAGGTTACAGACTTTATACATAGTCATAAGGGTCATTAAGATTTCTTTTCTGGTCATCCTAATGAACCACATTATAGTATTCTTTCCCTGTGATATAATGTTAATATTAAATGGAAAATTCAGAATTCACCAGCAATTGAAGTGAAAACTTGCTATCTTTACCAACTATGCTATTAAGGAAACTGGGGTTAACAAATTAGCCATATTTAACTTATTCTATAGATATGCTATCTTTAGCTGTTAACTATCATTTGGCACAGAAAAACTTCATACATTTTAGTTTTAAAATTTGATCATGAATTTTTATGCCTTTTCTTGTGAAGGATATCAATATGGTTTAAACATGACCATGACCACCAAGCCCTCTTTATTTAAATATATCATTTATTTATCAATTCAAAAATATAAACATGCATATGTAACAAAAAAAATAATTAATTAATAAAAGTTACAATTGTATCTCATTGAAACTTTACCTTCAAGTTTGTGTGTTTCTATGTTGATTGACTAACTGTGTATTTCCAAAGGAAGAGCAGCCAGGCTTCACTTCATAGAGAATGGATTATAGATGGTTAGGAACAAAACATATCTTCCAGGTTGAGGACTGTAAAAAATAAATTCCAGTTATTATGCTGAACTTCTTATATATGTAATGCAAAATAATATCTCTTATATATTTGGATACCTATACTCTAATCATATTAAATGTCATAAAAGTATGGTTAGGAACTTTAAAAACATATACTTTAAGCACATGACAAAAACATTCTCTCAAATTACACAGAAATGGGTTATTTAGCATAGCTAACATTAAACATATAGGTGAGTGATAACATAATCACAATCATAAACAATGTGAAACAACTTTAAGACCTACACTGTGGATTACAAGCCTTTTTCACTGGGGTAAAATCTTGCCGAAATTGTCATGGCCGCCCGAAACCCCGAACCCGACTGTATAAAAGAATTCCATGTTGATGACTGTAGAAATAAAAGCATTTTTTTTAATATGACAGAGTACTGCATGAAACAATGCATATTTAAATACAACATCTACAATGTCAAAAAAAAGATCATGAAAATATTTGTTTTTAATCTCAAAAAATTGTTTTTAACATTAACTCAGATGAGAAAAGTTCATCATGTTATTTATAGATAATAAACAAGCACAACTAATGTATTAATACCACAAAATAAAATGATTATCAAATTAATTATTTAGACACTAAAAGACTTTTTTCTTAACAGCAGATTCAATATTGGTTTAATACCTATCTGTACTGCATACAGAAAAATACATCTTTTTTAGCATATACAACATGTAGTCCTTCATTTTTTTTTTTGAAAAGCTTAAGAAACAAAAGTGAAAATGAAAATATATGTATGCCATATATCACACATATTTAGAATTAAAACAAAAAGTAAATGACTTAGGATTAATCTTTTGTAAATTCCTTCCTTTTCTCTTATTAGATTCCTAATTAATATCTCTTTGATCACCATTTAGTGAGTCTGAATTCCATGTGTAACATACATAATGAATTATGAAATTATGTCATATAATTTACACAAAAGGATTTAATAATATTCTGAAGATCCCTTAATCATGTGTTAATATATTTTAGGTTAAATAAGGGTGTGCTTATATGAATGTAAGTTAGAGATAACAGATCACATAAGTATTACACAGTCATTAAATTAACCATATAAAAATGCTGAAATGCAAAGATGACCTTCATAGGAAAATGTAAACAAATAAAAAACAAGATAAACTTACCAGAGATATCCAAATATATGCCCAATAAGTCTATCCATTAAATAATCCAGTGAAATAACATCTCAGCTGATCCTGAAAAAAAATCATACAATTCAGTGATACACAAATTAACCTCATTTTACAATGTAAGTAAAGCAATAATTTACAGATAAAAGGAACAGAAATGTAAAAGATACCATGTATTTTACCAAAATTAAGTGAATATTTTTCTGATTGAAATTCAATCATAGAATGACCCATCATACAAATATTAAATGCACTCTGAGTTACATGCAGGTTATATAACTGTAAATCACATGAAATGAGGATAAATACAGTATTTAAATTCAAAATAGAACTTTACATAATAATGATTAAATGCATTTAGATGATCTTCATAGGAAATGTAAACAAAAATAAGACAAACTTACCCGTGGGATAGGTCTGTCAGAAAGGAGATTTCAAAAATGAACACGCTCTCAACATTCACATGACAAGAATGCATCAGGATGTTTACTTCCGTGGTCATGGAGAAATTGAGCTTTATACAAGAAAAGCTTCATAACATAACAATCATCAAAGTAAAACAGAGGAAAAACAAAAGATAGTCTTACATTTTTTGAAAATCTAAGTTGACTTCTTAGAAACAAAAGTGAAAATGAAACTTTAATTTACAAGTGTATGACGTCATTTTTACAAGTGTATGACGTCATAATGCATAGGGTAGCTCGCTGACATGGATGACGTCACAATGCATAGGTAAGCATATATTTTTTTTTTTTGCACACGGCTCTAAAACAAACTTGGCTCGCTGCCAAGTATTTACCTGTGTAGTCAGCATATTTTTTGCACACGAATCGCGCCAGTATTTACCTGTGTAGTCAGCATAAAAAAAACGTAGGTAAAACGTTTTTTTTTTTTTGCACACGGCCCTAAACAAACTTGAATCGCTGCCAAGTATTTACCTGTGTAGTCAGCATATTTTTTGTACACGCCCCTAAACAAACTTGAATCGCTGCCAAGTATTTTACCTGTGTAGTCAGCATATTTTTTGCACACGGTCCCCTGACTTGAATCGCTGCCAAGTATTTACCTGTGTAGTCAGCATATTTTTTGCACACGGTCCCCTGACTTGAATCGCTGCCAAGTATTTACCTGTGTAGTCAGCATAAAAAAAAACGTAGTACCTACGTACCCATGTAAACAATGTAAGCACCCCGTATTTAGGGGATAGGATAGGTTAGGGTTTAAAAAGGGATTAGGGTTAGGAAGTTAGGGTTAGGGTTAGGGGGCTAGGGGATAGGGTTAGTTAGGGTTAGGGTTAGGGTTAGGGTTAGTTAGGGTTAGGGTTAGGGTTAGGGTTAGTTAGGGTTAGGGTTAGTTAGGGTTAGGGTTAGGGTTAGGGTTAGGGTTAGGGTTAGGGTTAGGGGACATCTAGGGTTAGGGTTAGCTATTGAAAATAGGGGGTTAGGGATTTAGCTATTGTTTTCTTTTACAGATGCAGTTAAAAAAGAATCAATATTTTGGCTGGAAAATTTAAGAAAGCTTAATCTCAAAAGTATGGGTCTAGATAATTTTTCCAATGTTTTAGTGTATTGATCACGTGATTTCTCGTTTTTCAGGTGATTTCACTTGCAAAAATGTATGGCACACAGATAATCAAAATTGTGTTAGTATTGTGCAGAAAGGTATTACAAAACCTCACTTACAATCGTTAGCATTTTCCTGAATGTGCTGAGTGCTACTCTCAGAATTGTCTGGAATCCTAAAAATTTGAATACAAAGGCAAGTTATATATTTAATAGTATTGTTTACGAAGATTTGTAAACAAATTATGTATTTTTTCAGTTAATCGATTCCATCTGGGGACCTCATACATTTGCCAGATTTGCTAATGTTTATAACACAAAGTTACCGAGATTTAATTCTTTGTTTTGGTTTCCAGAAACTGAGGGAGTTCATCAAAGCTTTTTCTCAAAACTGGCAGAATGATAACAATTGGTTGGTTCCTCCTGTAAATTTCATATGCAAGACCATCAAGTACATGCAATCATGCAAAGCTTAGACACATTAATTGTTCCAAAGTGGCATATGGACAGAAAACATATAATAACAAGAGGCCCATGGGCCTTATAGGTCACCTGAGCATGCAACAACTTTACAACGATTGACTTTGGTTCATGTTTTAACACTGTTTAAACTAGACATCATGGCATTCACAATTTTGAAAGCGGCACCATTGCTAATCATAACTATACACTTAACATGTTTAGTTTGGTTACTTAATACCCATAGACAGAGTAGGGGAACAAAAAAATGCATTTCGACTAATCAGTAATATTCAGCAATAATTAAAAAATTAAACGAGACTTACCTTGGTTAAGGTGAAGTTTGATTGAGATTCTATGAGGAAATAGAATCAATGAAGAGATCACGTGAGATTGTACTGCGCATGTGCGGATTCAGGATTTAAAGCGAAAAATTTTTTTGTTACATCATTTACACAAATGTATACATCATACATCTGTGTAAATGAAATTTTACCAATCATACATTTATAAATTACATTCCTTGCATATGCAGGGTGGGTGGGTGGCACGTGATCTCTTCATTGATTCTATTTCCTCATAGAATCTCAATCAAACTTCACCTTAACCAAGGTAAGTCTCGTTTAATTTTTTAATTCTATTTCGTAAATATCAATTACGAGACCACGTGAGATTTTAAAGAAACAAAACATTTTTTCCATTTTGAACACCCACAATTTATTCAGTCATAACACCATTCAGAAAATTCACTGTATTAACTGGTACAATAGTATCCATTCACGTCATTAATCGTCGGGTGGCGCTGCGGTATTAGAGGTGGTTACGCAAACGTTTGAATTTGTCAGGCGCTTGACTGGGTGTAAACAAATGGTCGCGTGGCGAGACACTGTGGTTTCTCCTGGACATATACCTCCAACTTAATTAATTTGTAACGAATGCCAACTCTCTGCGGTGTGCCAGGATGTTGTAGAGGTTGTGGACACTCATTATTTTTAGATCTAGACATTTGTTTGAGACAAAAAGTGACGCTAAATCGGTCATGAAGATGATCAGCTGATTATGGAAGCTTGGTAAACACGATGTCGCTTGTCGCCAGAATTTCAGAGTCAGCGATATTGAGGATTAGATTTTTGGTAAAATATTGATTTTGATTAATTTTAATTAGTATCTTACGAAGTATATGTCATTAAATCATATAGATTTAACCAGAAAATGAGTTACTATATACAGTATAAAACACATTGACTTGGTGACTTTTTAACTTTGTCTTAAATTGAAAAAAAGTGAACTCCCTCTTTATTTTTTTTTTCGTCAAAAGACATTTGAATTATTTATATTAATAGTGTCTTAATAGCTTGACACATGGCAATATTATTTAATATATTATTTCAAAAGTTTGAAATCTAATTAAAATGTCTAAAGCTTTTGTTGCTTTGTGATTTTGTTGTTAAACAGACAAACATAACACTGGTAAATGTAATAGGTTTAAATCTGATGAATTTAATGTACAGCAGCAGTTTTCTTATAAAAATGTACAAAAAGAGTGTATGATGTGTTTATGTCCCCATAGAATTTACTTGATTTGTTAACAAATGGAATAAGTACTGCAATTTATAATTTAATACTCAGTGTTAAATTTTATTATATTAAATTTCAACACCAGAAATAATGAGCTATATTTCCCCGCTTGATTAGTACGAGTAGGGTCTTTAGTTTTCCCTGGGCAAATATTGATTATATAATATTCTACTTTAACTCAACACAATTACAAAACAAAAATAATATTTGCACAGTTCCTTGTTTACAGGAGAGCAAGAGTATAAGACTAAAAAAGGATGCAGTAAACTTGACATCCAGTTTTGGAATTGAAAACTCCAGCAATACAAGTCCAACAGCTCCGTGGCTGCAGTCAAGACAAGAAGTATGTACAAAGACTGAGCTGTTCCTCAAGAGTTGTGAACTAAAGTGAGCGTCGTGAAGTTTAGACCAGTATCCCCAATGATAACTAGCCGTCACTGTGAAGTTTCTTTAAGATCAGCCATATTCTTTAACCAAGAGATAAAAAATTCAATGCAGGCATTTTAGCTGTTGAAGACTCTATCCGAATGATTCTTTCTCATATTGGTACATATTGTAGAAACTATTAGCATGATTAGGCTATTAAGTGAGATGTGCTTAGAAGATGTACAACTATTACTTTTTAAATTTCAGAACACAAGTACATAGTTTTAAGAATTTTTGACACGTTTAATTTTTAGAAAAAAATTCAAAAAAAATTCTTTTTGCCTTCTTTGAAAAAGAATTAAAAATGATTGTACATGTATTATGAATTCTTTGGAATGTTTTTATTAATCATGTTAATTTGTGGGGTTTAATGTTCATGGACGAGAAAAAATGTTCATGGGTATGTAATTTTGTAAATTATAACTCATTAATAATGTAGATTCAATCAATATGTTAACAAAATCCATGGGCAAGAGAGACTCGTCAAATCCACGAACATGGGTTTCCAAGAACATTGTACCTGTATGCTCAAATTTAAGTATGAAAGGAATAAATATGTATAAATATTTAATACAATCTTTATTGTTTTATTTATTTACAGCCATGAATAAAATAAGCAAAATCCTTAACAGAGAAAAGTTCAAGCTTTGGAAAGATACTGTACATGTACATAATTTGGCATTTTCAAAATTTAGCGCAATCAATGGATATGGAGTTGTTGGCATAATCATGAATTAGCTCTACAAATATTTGTGTCATATATTCTATTTATAAATGACTTAGTGGTATTCATGAATTAACGCATCCTCGTCTGCGCAAAAGCAGCTAAAATATGAAGCCCGCTATTTTAAGTACACATACAGTAAATTCCTTTCAATGTCAATTTTTGTGCAAACAAATTTTAAGATGTTAAGTGTGCATTCTTTCATTTCATAAATTAATTTCTCTTGCTAAAGATTGTTTGAGTACATCAACTTCTTTTCTCTTTCAGTTTTTGGTGGAATCCCTTCAAATAAGAAAAAGTAGCAATTAGTATAGTAAATAGCATTATTTAAAAAACACAAATGCAACTACATACCAGTTCTTTTTTTCCCCTGGCAGCACTGACAATAGGATGGATGCCATTTCATGAATTGGATGGGGAAAAATAGAATTTTTATGTTACATGTACCATCCAGCCATAATAAAGCTCCCTGTAAGCTTTGACATCTTACTTTACCTGCTGATCTCCTAAATAAAATAAAATGAAAAAATATATATTCTTAAATAATTAAAAAATAACCCAAGTTACTCAGTATAGGTTTTTGTTTAAAAACAAATATAAAGTCAGTCTGTAAGTGAGGTCTATCCATAGTCCTGATAATAAATTCTTTTTTTCCAGAGGACTGTAAAATTATATGTTTTTTGTATTTAGTTGTACAATAACAGCTACTATAGTACAAGATAAAGTAGATCCTCCTGCTGAGGCAAAATTCGTGGGTTTTCTATCAACAGTTCCAGAACTTTGTTGTACCACACTTGAGTTGTCCAGACTGGCACCACCATGAT